TGCTTTACGGGCGCTTCTAGATTTACGCCGCCATTTTGCTGTATATTCGATCGCACGCTTTTGGGTAATATCTACTTTTATAATATGGAGTAAGTCGTCAAATGATTTTATAGACATTCTAAAATAATTAAAAAACTTGGGTTCATATTGTCGTAGTTTTGGATACAATGTCACAAACATTCCATGGGTCAGTCTATCTCGTAATATTGAGTGCACCCAAAATTCTCTTTGCCTCTGCCGTCGTCTTTTATAGCGACAATAGAGGAGCCACACACAAGCAATCACTTCCACATCCATTTCCAAACCAAGTCAGTGCGCACGCTCTGCTAAACGCTCGTTTAAAAACGCCTAGTGTGTACACAGCCTTAACAGGAAGAAGGAGCTAAATCTGTTGCTGGCCTGGCAGTCCCTATTAGATGACAATCCATGGCTACCTCCACCAGCTCATGATTGCACATGTCAAGCGAGACTGACTTCATCAAAATCATATTCAATCCTGTCGAATTCCACACGCTCTGTTCAGAAGCATTCCTAAACTAGTTAACCTGAGGAAGAACTGCAAGATAGTTTGAAAATGTTTGTCACTTGCTGTATATATCTTATACGCATTGTGCGCCAGTAACAGGTTTAGGGAAGTCGGGATTTTACTCCGGTGCTGAAATTAGAGTGAACTTTATGACTCTTTATTCTTTCTCATATTTCACACTTGGTTAGCTGGCCAAGTCAATTTGTTTTGAGGGGATACAAGTACTAGTTGAGATGTTGGTCACCAGGGCGGTGTCACCATCTGGGACAAAGATTCACAAGTACCGAATTTTCTTTAGTAGATTGCTGTTGTTGTTGTTTAAATGTCATGAAATTTTTTGCAATAATTTGTTAAATTATATTTCACACATAATATGGCTTTCAAAGTCTCAACACTTAATTATGATTTATCAGGTGTACACACTTTATTTACAGTAGAAAAAATGCATTCATGTAACATGCAACGAACAAAATGCTCACTCATTTGGACAGCCTGTGAACATGCACTGCTCTGTTGCTGCAGCTGCATGCGCCAAACCATTTTCTGTCAGTCTTTACTACAAACACAAAGGGTTTTGTTGGCGCAGAATTCTTTATTTCCGATGCTCACACACACCTTGGTACGGATACATATGATACAAAATGATCTTTATGAATCTAAAACATAAGACTTAAGTTTATGACATATAATTGACAAAAATTTAATCTTTCTAAAACTTGGGACTTTTTCAAAATGTCGTGGGACATGGGACAAATTGTTAAAAATCAGGACTGTCCTGCCAAAAGCGGGATGTCTGGTCACCTTATTATAAGATCATCATAGAAATGTTTTTTATAAATATTTAAAATGTTCAAATTTTTTCCAATTCCATTTTTAAATAGAATATAATTATTTGTAGCATTTATTTTATTAAAATTGAATTTGCTATATATCTATCTGTCTGCAAGAAGAGTTAGTTTTCTAAAACCTATCAATTGTAATACTACCAATCTTTATACAAGACATGTTTAGAAATTAAGTCCTGATTGACTAGAAAGGAACAGAAGCTTATTTATTTGAACTTAGGTTTGTAATGTAACTATCATAGAAACCAGAAAAGATCCCAAAATAAATAAAAATTGCACTTTATTGCTGGAAGTTATAAGATGTTTTTATTTGTTTTAGAACTTAGGGTTATTGTGAATATTGGTATATAGAGCTATTTTTCAACATACTTATTGTCATTTAAGGTTCAGACAGTTGTCATAGCTATGCATAAGCTTTTTCAGAACCCTTGTCAAGTAAGTCTCCTGCTAACTTCGACTAAACACAGTTGTCTGCAGCTCTTTGTTGCTGTTGAAATGTTGTCCTCCCAAAAATTTTTTTCAAATGAAAAAACAAGTGGAACTTATAAGGTGCCAGATTGGGGCTATACAGGTGTTTAAAGATTTTATACTTGAATTTTTTCAGCAATTCTTGTGTGCTGCACACAGAATGTGGCCATGTATTATCACAAAACAAAGATCACTCTTCAGATCAGTAGACCACATCTCTTGTTTTGAATAGCTTGCTATAAATTTTTTAGGGTATCACAATAAATTTTACATTTACTGTTGTTCCACAAGGCATGAACTCAATTAGCAAATACCCTTCCTGTCCCAAAATAGTATACATGAGCTTCTTTGCATTAAATGCCTGCTTCATTTTATTTTTGGCAAGTCAATACACTTCCACTCCATTGATTTCTGCTTAATCTCTAGTGTTGAATATGCAGTCCAAATTTCATTACCTGTCACAATGTGGTCTAACAGCTTATCACTATTTTCAGCATACTGGTCCAAGAATGTGATTGCTATCATCATCTGTTGTTTCTTTTGTTCACCTGTGAGATGTTTATGCATTCATCTTGAACAATGTTTGAGATATTGAAGATGTTTATGGACAATTTCATGTACATGTGAATGAAAAATTTGGGAAAATTCTGCACTCAATTTTGACATGGTGAATATTGTTTGATCAAATTTTTTTCATTCACCAAATGTACTAGAACATCAGTGACAAACAGTTGGAAACCTCTTCCATCTTAATGCACATTTTATCTGCCTTTCTTGAAAAGTCTTTACCAGTCCTGACCATTCCATCACTCATTCATTTTGTATTTTTTAAACTCTTTCCATCCACTGGATGCTAGAAAGCCATTTTAATCATACCCATCATAGGTTCAGCCAGACTCACAACAGGGGTAGCTGAGTTGTGAGAGACAAAGCCCAACATATTCAGATTATGCCCAAAAAATTATTCACTTGGAATCAATTCTGGATCCACAGTGTGGTAGGTTGATACCTCAATCATCCAGCCACCTCACTCATTGCTTTAGCTCTATAAATATCATATATCTGACTATGAATTTGGGCCACCGGAATATTTTTTGCATTCAGAAATTTGATTACTGAGCATGTTTCACAAGTAGTGGAGAGTTCAATTTTGGTAAGTATTCCACGCATGATTATAAATCTTAAACTCAAAAACCAAAATTTCAAACTTTCAGCTGACATCTGCTTGATCTCCATGAGAATAATGACCTTGTGCTGTGTCAGGATTAGTGTTGCCACCTTTCAAATTCGCTGACCTGGACGGCAGGTCAGGTTTGTTTGAACAGAAGTTCCTGATGCATACACAATGTCATTTTACAATATAAGAATAACGACGAATAATGTGCATGCCTGTTTTAAATCAGTTACAGTTAGGGACTAGGGACTTGCGTAGGAGTAACATAAGTAACCCTAAATTAAGAAAGAACAGGTACAGATGACTTAGCTCTATTGGATATTGGAGATGTGTATGATTGTACATGCAAAAAAAGGGGGGGAGGCAACAACAGTGTGTGTGCCACACATCGGCATAAACAGACTAACATGACAGAATTGCAGATGAGTTTCAGTGAGTGTGAGTTCTTTCGCTGTTAAAATAGTGTAAATTTGTAAAAATATTTGCAAGAACTTAGTTTCATTGTAATTTCACAATTTCTACGAAATTCCTGGACAAAATTAATAGTTCACCCAGACAGTGAGTCAATTCCCGGACCGTCTGGATGAAAACTGGACAGGTGGTAACAGTAGTTGGGATGTGCAATCAGAACTTAATATCTGGATATACCATGTTTATTCAAATTTCAGTTATATAACTACTCACATTATGGTTTTAATCTATATATATATATAAATGGACATTTATGTCCCTATATTTCACTTTTCCACGCCAAAACTACACATCGCACGTGAATGCTGTTTGTATGTGGTGGTAGCCCCAAGTCTCCATTTGTGCATAGGGGTGGTTGCGTCTCGATAGTTATAAGGGTGCGGGAGATATGAGGCTGAAAGTGGCTTTCTATTTAGAATGTTTTGTTCAAATTTGTTCGAATTAAATTTGAACATAAAATTTGAATATTGGTTCGATTATAGAACGATTGTAAACGTTCCAGAAACGTTGAAAATAGTTTGTTTGACTAAACGTAAAAATTCTCTAATTAGTCTGGAAATGGGGGACCTAATTCTTGCAGCTAGTTACAGTATAAAAATTCAAACTTTTGAGTTTGTTCACATATACAGTTTGAGTTTTATTGACATATAGACTGTGTTAAGACTAAGAAATTTGATATTGTAATTTCTTGTGGACAACTTGCAAATTATCTGTTTTTTAAACTCAGTTTAAAAGTTGCACAGTTATCTGTTGATTTTAAATTACAATTATACACTCAACAGCTTTTACTTTGTCTAAATTTACTAAGAATGTCTAAAAATCAGAAAATAAGTATGTGCAGTGTGTAAAAGATACAACCATCACAATGTTTTGGGAAACCATCAGATATTGTATACCTCAATTTATTATATAAATGTCTACTAGGACACATCATATTATTAGGACTTATTGTACTTGTGTTTGGTTTCTGCAAATTGAGGAAACTTATTCAGAAAAAAACAATTCAGGTGAACAATAAAGATTGTTTTTTTTCCTAATAATACAATATGTCCTAGTAGACATTTATATAATAAGGACACAAAAGCATATGAATTAATTGTATACCTCACCTTTATTTATCTTGTTTTCTATACATTAACACACATTTTAATTGATATCATTAGACACTCCAACTTAGGCTAAACTTGTATCTTGAAAGCCGATAAATTTTTTCTGATTCCTCCTTTCTGCATGATGACTATCAACGAACTATTTCGAAGAAGATTATGAATTTTAGCATATATTAGTCTTCTCCAGTGAATAAGAGATAAGAAATAAACTCTCAAATATGTGTTATTGAATATTATAGAGTCTAGGTACAGTACAACTTTCTTAGTAAAATCAACAATGATGACACTAATGGCAATTATTTTACTTACTGCTTACTTTTCTTTATTTACTCTATATGGATATGGCAGTCATTCATTGTCTAATACTATTATAAGCAAATAAAATATATTTTTGAATATTCATATAGCTATTGTGCCTTCAGCAATATCAGAAAAAATCAATTTATGTCTTCAGCAAGCAGATTTGGCTCAATTGAAAGAGTTTGTTTTAGATGGATATGGAAAATATTTAGTGGGTAGAACATCATGGAATGAAGAGGTTCGTCAGTTTCTTCGAAATCTTCCTAGTTGTCTTGTGAGTAAATATTTGAGTGATTTTAATAAATAAACGTAAATTATTTCGAATTAATAAGTATAAGATTATTCATTGCATTAAAATAACTACACCTTAATCCAGCAAAAATTTAATATAATAAAAACGTTTTCAATCATTTTTAACAAATTGAAAACGTTTTTATTATATTAAATTTTTACTGGATTAAGGTGTAGTTTTTTTAATTTATTCTGTTTCAAGTACGTGCTTTGTTATTTGATTATTCATTGCTTTTAAAAGAATGAAAAAATATATTGAACAATATCCTAATACTATATAGTGTTTTGTTTAAAATAAAAAATTTACTCTTAATTACTTTTTGTTTTGAAATGTCTTATTTATATCTTTTTTTTTATTATGTCACTAGTTTTGAAATATTATTTAAATGAACTTTATTAATTAAAACAGCAATAATAATTAATTAGCTTCACTTGTAAGTATTTTGATGGATGAAAGACAAAATTACAAACATATTCTATTAATATATCTTAAGAATCAACCAACCATCAGCCAAATTAATCAGGCAGAAATTATGCTACAAATATTAAATTAGAAATTACAAGATAAGAACAACTAGAGGTAGACGTTACTTACCATTTCTTAACGAAAGTAGTAACTATAATTTCAATTTTAAATTTTGAATAGTCTGAAAGAAAAGAATCAGCCCAGAGAAGTCAAACCTGCAACATTCGCTTACCAGTTATGTCACCCAAATCTCTAAGCAATTCCTCCTTCTCAGGCACATTTAAACTTTTAGATATAACCATCCAACAGTTGCCCACAACCCATGGCACTGCCTGGTGACATTCAATGTCCACTAGCCTATTCCAACATGACACTGAGACAGCTATTGCTTTACTCAGAATGGTGTATATGTATGTATATATATATATATATATATATATACACACACACACACACCATTTGTCACCTGCTGTATATATCTTATATGCATTGTGTGCAAGTAACAGGTTTAAGGAAGTTAGGATTTTACTCCAGTGCTGAAATTAGAGTGAACTTTATATATATATATATCACAAACCACAAACTCCCAAGAACCCAATGTATTAATAATCAACCAACCATCAGCCAAATTACTCAGGCAGAAATTATGCTATAAATATTAAATTAGAAATTGCTCCTTGTGTGATGTGTTACTGAAGAAAGACAATAGATTTTAATTCTTTAAAGTCTACAAAACCAGTAACAGAAACCTAATTAAAGTAAATTAGAAATTACATGATAAGAACAACTTCTAAATCTAAAATTAAATTATAGTTACTACTTTTGTTAAGAGATGGTGTCTAATGTCTACTTCTAGTTGTTCTTATCATGTAATTTCTAATTTTATATTTGTAGCATAATTTCTGCCCGATTAATTTGTCTGATGGTTGGTTGATTATTAATACATCAGCAATTATTTTACTTACTTTGCTTTAATTTCATTTTTGCTTGGGATGTTTATATATATCTTAAGAATTAATAATAATCAAAACTTGTAAACAAAGTATCAATAATAATCTCTTGAAATTATTTTGGATATATTTAAGACATGACTGATGATAGCATACTTTAAAGTGAATTTATTCAATTTATTATTTTAACAGAAAATCAAAGTATGTAATTGAATACTATACTATAATAGATATTTGCATAATAAAATTTTAAAAAACTACTAACAAAAACTTAAAATACTTAAAACAAAATTACATATATAATTTAGGGTTGTCAATTCTCCTAGATTCACTGGCAGACTCTCAGAATTTGGCAAAAATTTTAAAATTCTCTTACTTCTAAATTAAGGTCTATTCCTCCCATATTTACTCAGCAAGACATTCAACTGTGGTGTATATGTGGTGTGGCTAAAAAATAATGAGACTGTGATCGCCTGCATGCAACGGTTCCAAGAATGGGCCGAAGTGAGTGAATGGGTGGGTAAATGACCTTGAACAAGTTAGAACAAACACAGTGAGTCTCAACTTGTTATTGCTATTAGATTGACCATGAGTGCCTGCTGCTAGTGGTTGTGTTGTTAGCATGCATTGGTAAAATGGTCAGCTTGAAAGAGGAGCAATGTATCAATGTGAAATTTTTGGTGAAATTGAAAACACTGCCACTTAATCTTTGCACCTGTTATGTGAAGCATACAGAGATGCATGTCTTCCTCATGCATGTGTGTTTGAATGGCACAGGTTTTCTGAGGGTCAAAAGGATGTGAAACATGATGAACATTCTAGATGGCCTAACACGTCAAAAACAAAGGAAAATATACAAAAAGTCAAACAAATTGTTTGAAGTAATTGAAGACTGAGCATAAGAATGATTGCAGACATGGCACACATGGATAAGGAGAGTGTGAAGCAGATTTTGCATGAAAAACTGAACATGACAAAGGTGTGTGCTAAGGTTGTCCCACAGCTACTTTCCCCAGAGCAAAAAGAGAATTGCAAGTGAATTTGTTCTGACATTTTGGCTCAAATTGAAGAGATGCCAAACTTTCTGGACAACATCATAATTTGTGATGAAACTTGTATATTCCAGTATGATCCTGAAACAAAGCATCAATCCATGCACTGGAAGACACCACAGTCACCAAGAATGTAAAAGTGCAACAAAGCAAGTTCAAGTTCAAGGCCTGTTCATTGTGTTCTTCAACATTATGGGTGTAATTTTGGAACATTGGGTTTCAGAAGGCATAACAGTGAACCAATATTACTACAAAGAAATTCTGGAATGTTTGCGGGAAAGAGTCAGAAGACAGCAGTGACACTTGTGGCAAAATGGTTTCATCCTTTATCAGGACAATGCACTAGCCCATTCTGCTCTGTCAGTGAAGCAATTTTTGGCCAAGAAGGGAGTCATGCTACTTGAACATCCACCATACTCACATCCGTACTAGCTCCATATGACTTTTACCTTTTCTCTAAAGTTAAGCCTGCTCTGAAAGAACACCATTTTGATTTGGTTTCTGCTGTCAAGAAAAAAATGACTGAGCTTCTGCATAGCCTTACAGAAGATGACCTGCAGCACTGTTATGATCAATGGAAGCTGTGAATGCAGCACTTTTTGGAAGCAGAAGGATCATACATTGAAGGGGAAGTTAACTAAAGTGAATATACTATTCAAGGTTTAAAGTTCCAGTTTCGGTCTTGTTATTTTCTAGCCATACCTCATATATTAAAACAGATTAAAAAATAGGTAACAGTATTTTGATATAACTGAGAGTAAAAAATGTCAAATCTCCTGGAATCAATTCTTCAGAAGTTGACAAGCTTAATATAGTTTTATATGAAATTTAGTTTGATGAAGAACTAATTCAGTTCAAATATGAAGATAAAATGATAAATCAAAGTATTTAAAAAGTTTATTCTGTTTCTATTAGGTATTGTTACAGGAAAAATTAATTAGGTTCTCTTTTGTAATGTTCTATATACATGTAGAACTTTAAAAGAGAATCTAATTAATTTTCATATATATAGGATGATAAAATATATTAATGATACTGTAAATGAAGAAATTGTTAATACTTAACATTAAACTTTAGTTAACATGATTGCATCCTGAATAAACTCCTGGATTACATATCAAACTATAACTACCAAATTACACATGTAAGCACATTGCTTAAAATACAGAAATGGCCAGATTAAATTAAAACTAAAAACAATTTAATTCATAGCGAATATTCTTGAGATATTTTAATAAAGTGCTCATTTTAAAATTCCATAATTAGAAAATAAAAAATTAAAAACATTAAATAGCATACCTAATACAGGTTAAATTCAAATTATAAAAACCATTAATCTTGTGGTTTTTTTACATTACTTATGAATTTAATTATATACTAAAATATTATTAAAAATTTAACAAATATAGATATTTATATTATATATGATATAATATTATTTTTAATTTCAGGCAAGTATTGACTCTCTTCATAATGCTGTATGTACTGATGACACTGAAAGTGTAAAAAGTTTACTTGATGAAGATATAATGCTTATAAGAGCAAAAGATAATGTTGGAAACAGTCCTATTCATTTAGCTGTAAAGAAAAATCAGTTGGAAGTGACAAAATATCTAATTACTAATTTTCCATCAGTATTAAATATGAAAGATAAAGTAAGTTTATTTCATTCTGTTTAAAATTTTATTTATCTAAAATAATGAAAGTTTATTAAAAATAACAGGCTGGCCGAACTGTTTTACATATAGCTGGTCAAAACAACAATAAAGAATTATATCAAATGTTAGTAGATGCTGGTGCTGATCCAATGATATTAGATCAGGTTTGTAATTTTTCTTATATACTTTAATATTCCACAATTTGAATTATATAACTTTATAGTAATCATTTTCAGTAAGTAAAAAATTTTTAAGTCTCAAAAATTTGAAGATTTTTACTAAACTCAAATGATTCTGCAGTAATTTTCTGTGAATTTTTTCTCTATATGTACTTATANTATTGGTGCCTTGGTCTGTTGCCAGGGATGCAATTCGGGCCGCGGGATTGCTGAACATCCCTGTCCGGGCCAGTCCCCTCCGGAGTTGGGTCAAGCCCTGAAATATAAATTACAATGATCTTAGTTTATATAAGAATAAGTTAAATAATACATATTTTTCTGTGTATTTTTTGTTTAGCTTTAAAGTGATCAAACAAGGAATAGACTTGGTAATATTGGTGATGGATTTAAATGTTATCCTTTGAGTCCATACCGAACAAATTTCAAGATTTACATATTTCTTGTGGCAAGAACCAAGGCATTAATTAGCACAGCTCACAGCATTATCAAGTCTACTCTTTATAAATAAACTTTTCATTTGATTATGTAGTTTATATAGAACTTATTCTATGTATGAGAGACCATGGAATAATTTTCTTTTACAAAAACTGATAGAGATTTACTTTTTTATCTTTAAATAAATTTTTCTTAATGTAACATGAATTATTGATGTATATCAAACTAGCAAATTTATTGTATTATTTTTTTGATTAATTTAGAGATAATTGAAATAAGAATTTTATTTATTAGATACTTTTATTACTATAGAAAAAACATCTTGCTATTTATAAATGTTACTTAGTCATCAAAATTATCAAATTTCATTTTGATTAAATGATTTGCAATGAGATTCAAATCTTTACTCAGTTTTATAATAATAAAAATATATTTAGGTAAACTTAGTAAAGAAATATAGCTAAAACTGAAAGATTTGAACATCATGAACTACGCTCATGCACTGATACCAAATGATTCACTGAATTATTTATCATGTTATTTTACTTTTATATTCAAAAACGAATTTTTTAAAAAATAATTTGCATGTAGAAAGGAAGAACTGCCGAATATTATATTCAGAGTCACATAAAACCAGAACAAAAAGTTGTGAATGAACCATCAGTGATTCCTCCAAGTTTAGATTCTGTGATAGAAAACAAAGATGTTACAATTCCAAATGAAAATATGGATATTTCAAATATTGTTCCTAATGAAATAATTGAAGAGAAACCTATTAAAAAAGAAGAAGTTCAAGCTGAAGAAACAAAAGAAATTTCAGATAAAAAGGATGATGAGAAAAAAAATGTTGAAACAATTCAGACAGAAAACAAAGAAATACAAAATACTGAACAATTAGAAGCTGAAAGAAAAGAAGAAAAAGAGATTGCAAGTGCTATGCAGACACCATCAACTGACACCAGTACAGGTAAAGTTACTACATGTAAGTAAATATAAGATATTAAACAAAATTTAAATTTCAATATTTGATAGACTCCACTTAAATATGACAAAAATAACACTTTTCTGACTAAAAATAATAAGTTGACATGGCCAATGATTATTTAATATTAATATAATAAATATAAGTACAACTTTTTTACAAAGAAAAATTCTTTGTAAAAAAGTTGTACTTATATTTATTATATTAATAACATGTTTCTGTTTATAAACTATTTCTAGTTAAAGTATATATTTTTCTTATTATTAATAACTCTACTTCTTGCCCTTACATTAATATTATTTAACTTTTCTTTACATAAGCAAATGCCATTGTAATTTATATTTCAGGGCTTATCACACACAGCAATCAAGTACAGTAGATAACACTGCCTCACTTAACACTGATTCGATATAACATGGTCTGCTTGAAGCCTAAAAAAAGCTGATTTAAATTATCACGGCATTTCATTGATTCGTATATAATACGATTATTTACAAACACAAACCAATCAGCAAAAGATGGCAAAAAGGTGTATTTTCTGTAAATCTATATTTGTTTGGTACTATTTTGGAAAAAAATATAACATCATGGATGCCATACGAAATATCGACTTCACTTGGCAAGAATTAACCGATAAATGCACGAATGAAGTGTGGAAGAAGTTATGGCTGAAGGTATCCAAGAATTCTTAACGAGAAGAGCCTATCACTGTATCATTAGATTGACCAAACTCAACCTAATCGATATAGCAGGACTAGGAGATATAGATGAGCAGAATATTGAGGAGTTACAGCAGGTTTCTGGTGAGAGCCTTACCAACGACAACCTTCAATAACTGGCAGAACATGGATTCATGTGGAACTGGAAAATAGAAATTCTGAAAACAAAGAACCCAAAAAATTTCTCTACAGATTTCCTTAGTAAAAAAGTTTGGTAACAATAACCGAAATCATTGATCAAATTGTAGCAAATGATTCAGATTTTGAAAAGAGTGCGAAAATAAAACGAGGTGTTTTGGATGCGATCTTCTGCTACTGACATTTGCTTAATTAAGGAAAGAAAAAAGTGACAAATGAAACTTTATGACTTTATTGCAAAAGAACAAGAATTTCAGAAAAGTCAGGACCTTCATCACAAAAAATGAACTTTACATTTCTGTATGCATATGTTTATGTGTTATTTAACATATATTATTATACAAATTAATGTAAAAATAACTTAATATTAAAGTAAAATTTGTTTATTTTTGGTCGCGTGTTCCCCTATCCCTATTTACTCTATGTTAAAATGACCTTGTTTAATGCTGTTTCACTTAGCACTTTGTTGTCTAGGAACGCATCCCCCACGTTAAGCGGGTCTTACTGTATTTGAGCCCTGAAATATAAATTACAATGATCTTAGTTTATATAAGAATAAGTTAAATAATACATATTTTTCTGTGTATTTTTTGTTTAGCTTTAAAGTGATCAAACAAGGAATAGACTTGGTAATATTGGTGATGGATTTAAATGTTATCCTTTGAGTCCATACCGAACAAATTTCAAGATTTACATATTTCTTGTGGCAAGAACCAAGGCATTAATTAGCACAGCTCACAGCATTATCAAGTCTACTCTTTATAAATAAACTTTTCATTTGATTATGTAGTTTATATAGAACTTATTCTATGTATGAGAGACCATGGAATAATTTTCTTTTACAAAAACTGATAGAGATTTACTTTTTTATCTTTAAATAAATTTTTCTTAATGTAACATGAATTATTGATGTATATCAAACTAGCAAATTTATTGTATTATTTTTTTGATTAATTTAGAGATAATTGAAATAAGAATTTTATTTATTAGATACTTTTATTACTATAGAAAAAACATCTTGCTATTTATAAATGTTACTTAGTCATCAAAATTATCAAATTTCATTTTGATTAAATGATTTGCAATGAGATTCAAATCTTTACTCAGTTTTATAATAATAAAAATATATTTAGGTAAACTTAGTAAAGAAATATAGCTAAAACTGAAAGATTTGAACATCATGAACTACGCTCATGCACTGATACCAAATGATTCACTGAATTATTTATCATGTTATTTTAAGGCTAATTTAATAATCGGATATAAAGCAGTTTGGTTATAGGTAGACAGTTAGGCTGCCATTTCATGATAAATTTAATACTTAAAAGAAATTAATTTTAAATTTAGAATATTTTGGAAGAAAATAAATAATCTGGTAAATTAGTTAGTACTACAAACTGAATTAGGTTGTTGTATAAGTTATTATGTTCAAATCTTCAGCTTGTGCAAACCAGATTATATATATGAAGGAAACTGGGGGAAAAGGGGGTTTCCTTTAGACCACTTAGTGGCGATGAGTTGGTTAAATCTGCTCACGTTGTCGTTGGATGATTTAATAGTGTTAGGTAGGAACCCTGATGACACCACTGTGGGGTTGACTTTTTGGTTAAAGGTTACGACCCTTACTTTGCCCATGATCTGTTGGGATGACATGAGAAAGCCTTTTTCGTATGGGGTAGTGGTTTGCTGGACACGGAGAAACTCACACAGAGACTGAAATTACGAATTTAACGTGTTTATTTGTACGGAAAATCATGCTTACAATGAGTTACACAAACATCTGGTTGAAAGGTGTCCATCACTGAAGAGGAGCTTGCACGATTGTCCATTTTCCAATGATATAGGTTGGCACAAATAAAAGGAAGGAGAGAGTTTGCTTCCAAAGGTTTGTAGGTAGAGGCTTGGAGGTTGGAGTGATGGAAAAATTGGCACTGGGAAGTCGAGTCCCTAGTCCCTTCCGTCCACTTCTTGGGAGATTTCTGGGTCCTCTGGGTTAATCCGGATCCGTTCTCTCAAATGGTCATTCTTGATCTCCAGTTCGCAACCTCCCCGTGTCCTTGGGATTTCGGGCTTTTATAGACTTTTTCTTCCCAAAATCCCGAGGTTTTGGTTGGTCTGAATGATGGTCCCCTATTGGTGCCTTGGTCTGTTGCCAGGGATGCAATTCGGGCCGCGGGATTGCTGAACATCCCTGTCCGGGCCAGTCCCCTCCGGAGTTGGGTCAAGCCCTTTCCTAGATGACAGACCCATAAATTTTACCTAATGTATATTTTTCTGTCCCGGAGAAGACACAGCTGTCTCAGCCACCACCCCCTCCATTGGAGTGTCAGCAAGTCCCGCTTTGAACTCTCTGTAAGGTGACCGTCCAAAGTTACCCCCAGTGGACGATCTCTCTCTTGTTCTCATGATTGATGATCATGGATCTGTCAATTAGGTCTGGAATGCAACAATTAAATCATCTCGCACCCCATTTCTTGGTCACACCGGTCCTATTTACGTAATAAGTCACCAATATATTGACTTTAGCTCGACAGCTGGTTCCCGTCCAGGGGGTGTGTTGTCCCGGCCTCACAATAGGAAAGTCTTAAACAGTTGAGCGAGAGTGTGAGTGGATACATTGATAGGTCCAAGAAATGACAGGTAGTCAGGCTTACAAACAAAAATAACATACATTTAATATCTAGCTAAATCCAAGGTTACAGTACACTACCGAATACACTATTAAAGCTGCATGACTTACTGGTTATTAAAAAGGATTGAGTATGTTGCTGGGGCCAAAAATCTCATTCTTACGTTCCTATATATTTCGATCAAGAGAGAGAGTTTACATATGAGCTAAACAATTGCTTCTGGTAGATAACTGATTTGATGATCTCCTGGAGTATTGAGTTGTTGTTGGTCTTCATAGAGAGTGGAGAGTTGTATTGGCCACTGCTAGGTTGGAGCCTTGGGTGCTTCTGTTCTGTATGGGGTCTAGGGATATGTCGAACTGGCTATGGCGTTTGGGGGATGTCCACCTGGATATGAGTGTCAAGTCTGTCCGTTGTCTTCTATGGCCTTGGGAGATATCCTCTGAGAGCAGGGTGGCTGGAAATGTCCACCTTGCTATGGCATCTGGTGCAGTCCACCAGTGTCCACTGAGTATGGCCAATGGATAACTGGTGGGTAGAGCTCTTCTATGCTCTAGGAAAATGTCCACACCAACTTGAGTTCCAGCCTTCCTTTTATCCGATTTAACCTGGGAAAACCCATCAGCTGATCGGATGGTTGTTGGAGACGAAGGTTGATTTTGCAGGTGTTGGGTCAGAGGTGAGCCATTGATGATATAAAACCATTGTTATATGGAACTTTTAGTAACATATTAGGCTCGAAACTTGTACAATCTCTTCTATTTACAATAGGTTGTTTAATTTAACACTCAATTGTTATAATTCTCAAACATTTGTTGATAGTAAAGGTGATATTCAATCTGTTTTCTGTGCAATGTTTTCTTAATGATCGTAATGGTGAAATAGGCTGAAGAATTTCCTTAACTTAGAGCAAAAATCAGGCCTACATATAATATATCTGCTCAGAGTATTTAGACGGCTTAATTGGCAAAAGTCTTATCAATCTGTAAAACTTCTTTTTGAATTCAAATCACATTCTGTGCTTTTTTTTTTAAAATATATAAATTTTTTTAAACTATAAAGAAATTTTAACACCGGAGTAGATAAATTACCCAACTTCACTGCGTGTAACCGGTGTTCTTCTTCTCCAATGCAGAGGACTTTGCATTGGAGAAGAAGATTATTATTGAATCATATTATTATTGAATCATAGTACAAGATTTGAATCATATGCTTAATCTAAAGATATAACAAAAATGTTATAACATGAATTTAAAAATGAAAAAAAATGTTCTTGATTCTGTGAAATCTGTTTCATCAATTCTTGCTTGGTATAAACATATAAAGCCATATTTAAATTTTATAGTGAGTTTTTAAAAAATTTTCTATAAAATTCATCTTCATTTAAATAATTTTATAATTACTGGATAATGAGAGATTATTTATGAAAATAAAATGGAATTACTAGATGACAATTTCTGATAAAATGGGTACAAAGTATAATACAGTATCTATAATTTAATATATCAAAAAGAATGTTCATTGCTTTTTACAAATACATGAAAATTAAAATTATTTATTAGTCTTCAATCTTAATTGATACTCTAAAAAAATCATTGTTAAGCATGTCATAAATTGAGATTTTATTTTTGGAAACAAACTGGATAATGTTTCTTTGTAAAAAGGGTCTGGTGAAAATTACAATTTAATAAAGTAAAAATTACATTACAGATACTAAACATATCATCCTTGCTCGTCATGTCCAATTACCAGGAACAACTGTCACCTGTGGACATTTTAGACTGTTTACATATTTATGCAGAGTAGTAGCCTACAAAGAAAGATCATCTCTGCAGTGAAGAATAGTTGTTCCTGATGATTGGACATGGCGAGCAAAAATGATATATTTAGTATCTGTAATGTAATTTTTACTTTATTAAACTGGATAATACTACAATGAATTGGCCAATAAAAAGAATACTCTATTTAAATATGGCACTGCAAACATAGGGGGTCACCCTGCATTTTTATAGCAATTGCCAATCCACTTGCCAAACATTTTGTATTTGCCAAGTTATTTTTTCACTTACTGTGTCTTTTTGTACCATCCAGAAATGAAAGGACAAGTATAAAAAAGTAGAGTTACTATGACTAAGTTTCTCAAGCAACTTTATTTTAGATTATTAACAGTAAAATTTGTATTATAGTGTGAGTAGCACATATGATTAAAACTGAATCCTTTGTGGCTGCTCAACTCATGTTTCAAAAGTCTTCTCAAAATCAATTTTCATCGAGTGACATTTTTTTTTGGTGGATTGCTCTGATGATATATGCCACTTCAGTCACCAGATGAATAAAATTTTCACAAACTAAGTATTTTGCAGCAGGCAGCATGATCCCTGCATACATATAAATTTTATATTTTAAATTGGTTGGAAAAGTGGATGTAAAAGAAATACAGGAAATGTCCATAAAATGAGAGTGTTATGTTCCTAATTGATTGCTTAACTTATTTCTATACAGTTCATTTATTTTCACATTCAAATAGTACTAGTAAAATGTATATTTTGAATACAATAATAAAGTATGGTGTTAAGAGAATTAGTAGTTTTCTTAAAATAGCTAACAACTTTTGATTAATAAAGTTAATTTTGATTGATTTGAATAAATAGTTTTAATAAGTTATTAGTATAAATATAATTAATGTTATCTGTCACTTATTTATAGTCTTATTTGATTTTGCTATTTTTATGTATATTAATTAAAAAATTTAATTCATCTTGGCTAGGGGACAGGCTAAATGAACTGATTGATTACTGGATAAAAGATAAAGATCTTTTACGTCTAGAACATGTTGTTATTGCTGGTCAAGGAGAAAGGTTAATTGGAAGAACATCAGATAATAAACAAGTTCAAGAATTTTTGGAACTTGTTCCAACATATATGGTAAGTTTTAATTCATTCAAGTTAATTAGTTATAATTAATAATATGGATAATAATATGGAACGTTAGGTATATGATAAATCAGACCTAATGTTCATATGATGATTTTGTCATGTATAAAGTTTCTATGTATCTTAAAATGTTTAATAATAATAATAATAATAATAAATATAGACACTGCAAGAGTTTTCTACAGAAAAGAAGTATTATCACAATTACATAAAGCAGTAACTCTTGTAGACAAAAACAGTGCACCATTAAACTTGCACAAAATTCACCTGGATCTAACAAGTACACAAAATGCAAGACACCAATCATCAGGCAGTCTTGTGCTCAGAAGGAGCACCATGGCAGGCACTCTAATGATCTCAGACAGGATCACATTGACAGAACTGTGTTAAATGTTGGCTAACTCTTGAATATCTTGTGGAGAGATGGAAGAGTTCATGATTGTCATACAAGGCCAGTTCATAAATACAAGAAATTATAGGAAGCACAAAGACATAACAGACAGCACTTGTAGGAAAAGCCACATAATGCACAAGACTACATAACATATCACATTAATTGACAAACAAAACAAAATCACAGATTTCACAGACAGCCAAACACTCACAACATATAAAATTATTTCTGAATAATTCTCTTTCTATTTCAGTCAATCATTTCAATGATACAACTTTTCAAAATCACATTCAAAATCATTAACGATTGCATATTGACTTAAAAATTAAAATTTTAAAAACTAAATATTCATATTTTTGTGGGAGCCGAGGGGGAGAGAAATTAAAAAAAAATGTTAACGATTATATGTGATATATATTACCATTGTCTCCATTGCTGTCTGGACTGCTGAGAGGTAACAATCAACGACATGTGGAAGCAGTTGAGTCAGAGATAGATGCCTTGTTTATAACAAAAAAACCCATTTATTATACATGAAAGATGCTTACAAGATTTCTGCAATCTTGGAAGTTTTATGTTGGCAGCGGCCTCTGAGTCTTCCTCTCCTTTCCAAGATAGTCCCATTTTGAAGGAGTGTCCCTTGTTTGAGAGTGAACAATTCCATCATGTCTCGATGACTCCAGGATGATGCGGACGACTTCCATTGACAGAAAGATGTCAATCTGAGGTCAGGAGATGGTGACAAAGATGGGTGCAAGACACACACACAGGAATAGATCCTTCACTTGGAACTTTCAGGAGAAGAAGCCCTTGCGTCCTTGAATGTCCTGGGTTTTATCCATTTTCCTTCGATTCCACTTTCCGATTGGTCTCTCCTTGTCACCTGATAACAATTCAAAACCTTTCAGGGGTGCGGGAGAGGTCAAAATCGAAGTTTAATTCTATCTCCAACTGGAGATGGTCGATGGACTTACATTCTTTTATTGTTTAAAAGTTGCGTTGCATCTTCATATAAAAAATCTATTTCTAACTACTATATATTTTTTTTTAATGAAATTATTTTAATGCAAATTTTAGTGAGGGTTCAGACCTGTCCAGAGCCTCACATTTTCTAATGTTAATTATTTAATAATTTGTTAAAATCTTTTAAAACATAGAAAACTACAAAAACCTTACTTTTTATTGATATTAAATATTTGTATTTTTACATTTTGTTATTGGTTTGGGAAAGCATTGTCTGATTATGTATTAAAATAAGTAAATGTTTTCAGAACAAATTGTTCCATATTCTTTCTAAATTTGTATTAGTCATATTTATATGCCAGACATTTCAAATTTAAATGGAATAATTCTAAATTTAATTTCAAGTATACATCCTTTTAAAATAAAAATTAAAATTAAAAAATTATATATATAGATTCATCTGATAATTCTAATTAACTTTAAGCCAGAAAGAAATAGAACTATTGTAAATTGTGAATAAATGCTGCTCATATAATCAATATTGTGAGATCCGGAAGGCCCCTGGGCCTCATTTGTGAATTTTTATTAATATGTTTAAATTATCGACAAAATATTATTTCATTTTGTGTGAAAAAAAAACTGGTGTTTTAGACGTGGGAAAATAGATGACAGATGACACTTCCTTTCCACAGAAGAGAACATCCGCTGTTTTTCCCTTATCCGTTAAAAATCTCGCTCAGATGGGAAATGGTTACCCCTCATTCATCCCCCTTTCATCCGTTCTCACGAAAGAGTTACTGAACGATGATTGGACGAAATTTTGAGATAAAAGGAGAAATTAGTCAGAATTCGAGGAGTCCTCCGACCGATTTGAAAGTGTCCAGACTCCACATACGTTTCCTCCTGATGGCCAACGCCCATAACGGAGTCCGATAGACTAAGTCCCGAGTCTACACTTAGAAGAAGTGATATCTTTATATTTTGTGCACGAATTAATCTCCCATACGAAAGGAAGATGAACCCTATCTACAAGGTGTCCTATATCTACAGAAACGAAGACGACAACTAACAGGTCGTATGTTTAGAATCATTTTGTGAGCTCTCTCTCGAACGCGCATTAGCATAGATTTAGTCGTAGCCTCTAGTTTGTCGCTTAAATGGTTGTAATCGAATTTTTGTATTCGTTTGTTTAGTTTTATTAAATTATACTTATGTTTATTATATAAGAATGTCTCCTCAATTCATTCCGAATCAGATCGTTATCGCGTGTTTGTCCGCGCCTCTATAAATTGACAAACTGGTGTCGGGAACCTGACGAAGGAAGAAGGTGAATTCGCTATCACCAACTTCCGCTCTAAATTATAATATAACCGTAAAGCCCTCCACACTCGTTCCCTACGACGGGGAAAGGCCGTTTCTTGGACGACTGAGAGCTGGTCTTACCGACTAGTGCCCGTAAGTGGCGTAGATTAAGACCTACGTCCTTGGCTACTTTCACACTGGTTTTCAGGAGTGGGGTTTTGAACCTAAAAAAATCCCCAGTGTACTCTCACACTGGTGTCACGGGAGTGGGGTCTCGAGCTTAAGAAAAACCCCCTAATAGACTCTCACATCTGGTGTAGCAGGAGTGAGTTTTTGAACTTAAAAATCTTTAAAAACTTATAGTCGTCTCTCAATCCGAATCAGATCCGCTTGAGAGACGACTAGTTGAACATTTTTCTTATTTCTACTTATCAATTAGTTTTAAGTTACCTATAAGTTAAAATGGATAGAGATAGGGAAGAAACTCCGCGAGCTACGATAGCGGGTAATCCCACGGCGTTGGGAGGATTGGGAGGAATGATCCCGTTATTACCTGTTTTCTCAGGAGACGCAAAAGGTCCAAAAGTATCTGAATTTTTCGATACGTTAGCGGATGTGACTAAAGTAGCAGCATGGTCGAAGGCACAAACGCTGGCTGTAGCAAAATTAAAATTGACTGGCATTGCTCGGGAATTCGTACGTAAGGATCGGCGAGTAAAAGACGTGGAGGATTATGAGGAATTCAAGAAAATAATGTTAGAACGTTTTGAGAAGGTCCCATACACATATCGAATTCAGAAATTCTACGCTTGCGTCCAGACTAGAGACGAGGACGTGCAGACATACGCCGTACGACTCCAGGCTTTAGCAGAGGAGGTGGAGATTGAACATGAGGGCGCAAATGAGGCAGAAATACAAGTAATAAAGCGGATCAAAGAAAAAGAGTTAGATGAGCGGCTGAAGATCCAATTTTTAAATGGTGTAGACCTCCGGATAAGAAAAAGAATTATGTCCAGAGAACCTGAAACCTTTGACGAAGCCCTGAAAATAGCAATAAATGAAGAGAATATCGAGCTCCTCACTTCCCACCCTAAAGGTCTTTTAAGGGTAATAAAAGAAGAAGAAGAATTAGCCGTTAAGAAGGATAATTTTAGGGAAACGGAATCTGATCCCGGAAGACAGATGGAAGAAGTAGTTAAGGCTATAGGTGACTTGAACAACCGTTTTAATACATTTATAAGACAATCCCAGGAGAATAGGGATGAGCCTAATAGAACTAATAGATATAAAAATAACTGGAGGGGTGTGATCAATAGCGTAGAAGAATCAAGAAGGCGACACCCCAGGAATTTCCGTAAGGAGAGAAAAACACGTCCCAGGTATAAAGAAGGAGCAACAAATCCTAAATGGAAGAAAACTTTTTGGAAAGGAAGGTTAAACACCGTTGGTGCTGAAATTAAGCCTATCGTACTTGTGTATATCAATAATATACCTACAAAGGTCCGAGTCGATGAGGAGGCTACGAATACACTTTTATCATCCCGAATTGCACGAACCCTAAAAAATAAAGCTCCCGTACATTATACTGAGCCGCTAGAAACGGAAAATAGTTCCGGGAAAATGGTCGTAATGAAAGGCATAGCATTACCAACCTTTAAATTAAGAGGGACAAAACTTAAACGAATCGCAAGAATAGTCGATTCGGAAGAACTTATACCATGTGATGGTATATTAGGAAAAGATTTCCTTATAGAAGGGAATATCACCATAGACCGAGAAAATAAAAGATTAATCTTAGAAAATGGAAAGGAAGTCCATTTTTGTTCCCCTTACCCCTCGGGAAGAAATTATTTTAAGGGAAAATCGCCGCTAGAAAACCCTAAAAAGGAAATAGATTTAAGATATTCCGAGACCAGCATCATGAGGAGTGTTCGAGTGTCTTCCCGCCGAAGGCCCAATAAGAAAGAACACATAGTGATAAAGCGAAAGACAAAACACAAGTCGAAAAATAAAAAGGCCGGGTGAAAGTTGACTAAACTGGAAAAATATATGGGTACGGATATAAAGTTAGGGCGCCAAAAACAAAATAAGGAGACAGAGAATGCTCCCACCACCGAGGAAACAGAAGAGAAGGTCGATCTAACGTCTAAAGTAGAAAATACAATAAAGGTAGATAAGGTAGAACTCAGAGGCGACCGCAGAACAGAGATGAATCGCTCTAGAGGTCAATTAATAGCGGATCTCTATAAATTAATATGCCTACTGATCTCGTTACTAAAAATTATTTCGGGAAAGAATATAAAGGTTAATGATGAAAAGGAGGAAACTGAAA